GAGGACAAGGGTTAGACCCCTTTTCCTAAACCTAACTCGACACCCATTTTCCTAAACCTAACCCCCTGACCCTTGACCTTTAACCTAACCAGATACCCCTTTTCTTAAATCTAACCCAAGACCCCTTTTCCTAAACCTAACCCCCGACCCTTGATCTTACCCAAGATCTCTTTTCCTAAACCTAACCTCCTAACCTCTGACCCTAAACCAAACCCTATACCTGACCACCAACCCTAAACTTAACCTGGGACCCCCCCTCGCTCTAAACTTAGCCCTCTGACTGTCTTTAATTCATTCCCTAACCATAACCCCAACATTTGACCCTGTACCTAGCCCTGACTGCCAAGCCTAACCCAGACCCTAACAAGAATCCTGGGCCCATCGCCCACATAATGCTCTCCCTACTCAAAACTCTCAGTGGCAGGAGGACATACTGTAGCTGGAGGCTTGGGTGCGGGGTAGGATTTGTGCAGGGGACCTGGTGCAGTGATGGACTGTGCACGAATTCTGTCACTGTTTCTAATCCTAACCCTAAACCTCATGACCAAAAACGTGGATTAAAACAGACAGCCCAGTAAATCCAGAGCTTTGCTTTTCAACTCAATTCTTTCTTCACCACGACCAACCAAAGCAATGCCCTCATTACTGAGGACAAGGCCAGACACCTAAACTCCCCCACCTGAGGCAAAGAGTCCCCACCACAAACCAGTAAGAACATTCCAGCAGTTTCTGGTTGAGAACCATGGCATTGGACTTGGTGACGGAATGTCATGGCCCTAAAACGCCATGGGGTAAAAACAAACAACAACAACAAAAAAGCAAGTTAAATGTTAATTGCTCATAACCTTTCTGAATTATATTTTTAAGTAGTCATTTGTAAAAGGGCTGATACTTTCTGTGAACCTTCTCCGCCAAAGGCCACAAGCCTTGGCACCTTTCAAACTCTACCTGCCCTGCAGGCAAATCTATGATCTCTCGTGGTAATTTATAGCTCCAGGAACTCCCTGCTCATTGGACTACAAAGCAAATGCTTACAATTCTGTGGTTTTAAAAACAGGTCCGCCTCTTTTCCTCTTTCTCTATCATTACAGTGGGAAAAAAAAAAAGAAACACAGATGGTAATAGGTCAGCTCAGAGGAAAACCAGCCTTTTCTTTTATAGCTGCCTCTGGCTAAAGCTACCAGTTATTACACTGCCCAGAACAAAGATCATGAATGAAGAGGGGAGGGTTTAAAAAAATGAAAATGACATACAAAGGAGGAACGAAAGGGAGTCAGGCAGTAAGCAAATATCCCAACAAGGCTGTGTTTCCACTTGTCCAACAGAAAACCAACATCTGCAAGAAAAATAACTACGTATACCACTAACTCTACGTTTATCTTTACACCGTGACATCCCGCTCTAGAAATTATGTCCTTAGATATTTTTGAATGCCCACGATGTTATTACACCGACAGCGGATTAGTTTTTAACATTACACGAGAAGTTCCTCGATTCATTCATGTGGCTCTGCTGGTGATGACAGGATTCTTGAACTTTAAAAAGATTTTGGGCATCTCGGCGATAACACACATTTCCATAAGTTTTGTTCCAGACAAACAAATTCCCAACTGAACGCTAATCAAAAATTCAAGATGGCTGCCAAAGAAAACTTAAAAAGGGCTATAACTTGACCATTTATATTATACATATTGAACTTATCTTTGGTATGGTGGTAGAGAGTGATCCCCAACGCATTCTGACTGCTAATCACAAATTCAAGCTAACCGCTAACTTTCGAGAGGGCTATCCAGCTATTTTTAGACATTTAAAGATGAAAATTGGTATAATAGTAACCAAGAAGAATCTTCAACAAAGTTTGAATGCTAATCAAAAATTCAAAATGGCATCCAATGCTAAATTGTAATGATAATTACTTAAGACATTATAGATATATACTCTCACTGAGTCACGAGGAGACATTTTCAAGAGAGACCTGTTTTAGACAGACAACATGTAGAATACAAAACAATCAAAATAAGGGTGTTATAAAACACTGTTACTGTTAGCAGCATAGTCCTGTTAGCAGAGGTTCTGCTAGCAGTGAGGTTCGCTTGGCATCATGGTCCTGTTAGCAATGTGGTCCTGTTAGCAGTGTGGTACTGTTAGCAATGTAGTTCTGTTAGCAGTGTGGTACTGTTAGCAGTGTGGATCTGTTAGCACCATGGTCCTGTTAGCAGTGAGGTTCTCTTGGCAGCATGATCCTGTTAGCAATGTGGTCCTGTTAGCGATGCAGTCCTGTTAGCAATGTGGTCCTGTTAGCAGTGAGGTTCTTTTGGCAGCATGGTCCTGTTAGCATCATGGTCCTGTTAGCGATGCAGTCCTGGTAGCATTGTGGTCCTGTTAGCAACGTTGTCCTGTTGGCAGTGTGGCTCTGTTAGCAACATGGCCCTGTTAGTAGCATGGTCATGTTAGCAGAATGGTACAGTTAGCGGTGTGGTCCTGTTAGCAAAGTGGTTTTGTTAGCAGTGTGGTGGTGTTAGCAAAGTGGTTTTGTTAGCAGTGTGGTGGTGTTAGCAAAGTGGTTCTGTTAGCAGTGTG